GTGAAAACTATTTTGCAATTTTAAATTCTATGATGAGAAATCCTCTGAGTGGATAGTCATTAGGCCAATGATTCCAAGCTTATGGCACTTTCTATTTTTCTGTTTCCTTTCTAGAGACAGTAAAGATGCTAGTGGACTTGGTTTTTCCCAGATGAGACTGTAGGTGAATAGGCACCCCTGGGACAGTGGGAATGCTTGAGGAATGGTGAATACATTTAAAGGATGACCAAAATACTTTTTATGAGAAATTACGGTGATATCTGGAGCTTGAAATATATCCTGCTTTCATTTCTTAGTAATGAGAAATTTAATCAATAACTTAATCTTTTCTGATTACATTCATTAAAAATTAATAGTGTACTTATTTTTATCAAAGTAATATATTCTCATGGTTAAAGTAATCAAACTGAAGAGCTTATAAAGAAAAACAACTATCCTTTGTCCCTTTGCCCATCCTGCTTACCAGAGGCCACATGTTCTAATTTTAGCTGTTTCTCTTCTTATAGTTTCTTCCACATCTCTAAATAACATGCATCACAACTATTTCTAGATTTATCAATTTTAGACATTATCTTGTCACTTCTGTTAATTTAGCTGTTTTTAGCTCACTTTACTTACTTTCTACTCCCTCCTCTTATGATTATAGTGCTCCTTTAATGGTTATTTTTGCAATTTTAAATTATTAATACCTTTTCTTTTATTATATCAGCTCTAGATACCATCTCATGATTGTTCTCTTTTCTCTCTCTAAGCTTATCATTTGTATCTTTATGGTGTCAGAATCGATGAGGTTATATTCAGATACTTATAATGAAATATTCCATGCTTTGAGTATATGTTAGTTTTAAAAACTGGAAATTTTACGGTGTTTACATTATTATGACAATAATGTGACATGCCATATTCTGCTTTCCCCTCTTGCACAGCTTTTTTTTGATGCTTCTAATTTCCTCTCCTGCCCCCCAAATTAAATATCTTTACTGAATTTCTATGTTATTTATCCCTAGATAACTCTCTTCGGCAACTTCCGTTCTCTGACCATTCCGTACTGAATGCTCTCTATTAGTTTTCTTCCCTGCTTTCTACATTTGGAGCCACTTTTCCCCTCGTCCCCATGTTTTTTGCTTTTATTCCCTCAGTTTTGCCTCGAGTAACTTCCTAAGAAAGGGTATATGGACATAAATTTCTTAGCTCTTTGCATACCTGCAAATATCGTTATTCTACCCTTACGCTTAATCGTTTTAATTTTTAAAATCTTCTGGCCTTTTCTCATGTTGTTCATTGTGTTGTTCCTATTAGGATGCGTGTCTTTCTTCCTCTTGGATTGATCCTCTGTGTCTTATTTTTTTCTTATGTATCTTGTCTCTTTCTTTTTCTATCCTATAGTCTGTGAGACTTTATTAATGTTGAATTTTTAATTATTACTCCCTTTCAATTTGAAGGAGTTTTTGTTTTATTCTCATGATTTTTTTTTTTACCCATTTCATCCTAGTTTTGCTTTATGGATGCAATATCTCTTGAATCTCTTCAAGTATGCTAATTAGAGATTTTTTTTCTCCTCTTTAATCCCGCCCCCCCCCGCCCGATGTTGCCATTTCTCTTTTTTAAGAACTGGATCTCTGAAGGTGGGGTGTCTCCTCCCACATGCTTGGTGTGCACCTGAGGCGAGGTGTACCGAGGGCCTGGCGCACCTGGGGTATGTATGGTCCGTGGCTCCACCTGGCGCGTGAACCCAGGACCTTCTGCGTGTAAAGCAGACGTGCTAACCCCCACACTATGGAGCCACTCCCATTAGGGATTTTTTAAAAAGTTCTTCTTTGCTTCCCATATTTTTTCTGCTTTTTCCGTAGTCATTTTTTTCTGTTGATTTTTTACTATATTCTTATTTTGTGTGTATGTGTGTGTGTGGATTTTTACCTTTTTCATTTATTTACTTTTATTTTAGTGAAGCATAGGATAGGAAAGAAAATAAACACAGGTAGCTAAACCATTATTTACAACTGGCTGTTCTTCCTTCTTAGCACATAATCTCAGTGGGGCATTAGCCGTGAAAAAGTTCACTCATTTTTTCCCTCCTACTCTAGATCTTCTTAGAGGAATTAATTATAGCCTTAGGAGTCAAGAGAAATAGTTAAACTGACTAGACTTTATATACACTTAGGTGTAATTTAGTGATTTTTGCACTTCTTTTTAAGGCTTAGTTGCTCAGTTCAAGAAATGTGAGTTTATTCAAGGAGAGAAGACCTACATGAAGGGTTATTCTGTCTCCAGAACAAACTCAAAGACCTTAAGCCTGAAGACCCTTCCTTGTCTGGTCTTTAGGCTCATCATCTCCTTTCTGGCTTCTCTTTGTCTGTCTACATCGGTTTGCTATGTGGTCCATGGTTTACTGAATATATTAAGTCCACTGTTGAGACCTACTGCTCAGAAGAAAAGATTCCTTTCAAAATATTACTGCTCATTGACAATGCACCTGGTCACCCGAGAGCTCTGATGGAGATGTACAATGAGATTGATGTTGTTTTCATGCCTGCTAACACAGCATCCATTCTGCAATCCGTGGATCAAAGAGTAATTTTGACTTACAAGTCTTATTATTTAAGAAATACATTTTGAATCTATGGCCATGCCACCCTGAACATGCCCAATCTCGTCTGATCTCGGAAGCTAAGCAGGGTCGGGCCTGGTTAATACTTGGATGGGAGACTACCTAGGAAGACTAGTTGCTGTAGGCATTTAAAAAAAAAATACATTTTGTAATGTGATAACCACTCTAGTACTGATTCCTCTGATAGGTCAGGGCAACATAAATTGCAAACCTTGTGGAAAGATTCACCATTCTGGATGCCGTTGAGAACATTCGTGATTCATGGAAAGAGGTCAAAATATCAACATTAATAGCAGTTTGGAAGAAGTTGATTTCAACCTTCATGGATGACTTTGAGGGGTTCAAGACTTCAGTGGAGGAAGTAACTGCAGATGTGATGGAAGGAGCAAGACACCTAGAATTAGAAAATAGAGCCTAAAGTTGTGACTGAATTGTTGCAATCTCAAGACAAAACTTTAGCAGATGAGGAGTTGCTTCTTACGGATGAGCAGAGAAAGTAGTTTCTTGACATGGAATCTATTCCTGGTGAAGATGCTGTGAAGACAGTTGAAACGACAAGAAAGGATTTAGAATATCAAACAAATATAGTCGATAAAGCAGTGGTAGAGTTTGAGAGTTTGACTACAAGTTTGAAAGAAGTTCTACTGGGGGTAAAATACTATCAGATAACATCACATGTTACAGAGAAATTGTTCATGAAAAGAAGAGTCAGTTGATGCAGCAAACTTCATTATTGCCTTATTTTAGAAATTGCCACAGCCACCCCAACCTTCAGCAACCACCAACCTGATCAGTGAGCAGCCATCAATATCGAGGCAAGACCCTCCACCAGCAAAAAGATAAAGACTAACTGAAGGCTCAGATGGTAGCATTTTTTAGAAATAAAGTATCTTATTTAAGGTGTGTACATTGTTTTTTTGTTAGACGTAATGCTGTTGCATACTTAATAGACTACATTACAGTGTAAATATAACTTTTACAGGTACTGGGAAACCAAAAAACTCATGACTCATTTTATTGTGACATTCACTTTATTGTGGTGGTCTGGAACCGAACCCATAATACCTCTGAGGTATGCCTATATTTGGGAGAGACAGAGGGAAGAACTGGTTGTAGATTTTCATGAAAGCATGTTTATAAAATTAGCAAGTTTATAGATTAACTTCATGAAAGTTGTGTTTATGTTTCTTTTAAATAGATCAAGGCATTCTCAAGAACAGCTTACTATATTTAGTTATTCCTCCTTTTTCTCCTTCCTCTACTCCTCCCCACACAAAGGGATGGTTACTTATATTGTGAATAAATTGTAAATGCTACACTAGAACAAAATTAACCTCCCAATTAAATGAGGACATTATTCGTGACCATTATTTCACTCTACGTAGTATACATATAGAAACAAAACCCCATACGGTTTACAACAAGAAAAGGGTATGGAAGGGTATGTGCCTGTTATCTCTCTCTCCCTTCCTTCCTCCCTTCCTTTCTTTTATTCCTTTTCAAAATGGGTGACTATTCTGTGCAGAGGAGATGGCCAAGCTAAAATAATGATTACATTTTAGTTCTGGTGTTATTTGCTTAATTTAAGGTCTTGAAAGAAAAGACAGACAGTTGATTTCCTTAGTATAAAAAGTATCAAAGACTTTTGATCTTCAAAACTGTGGGAAGTGGTGAGAACACACTAAGCAGCCAATTTATTTGGCCTACTTAATCTCTGCAACAGAAACGAATGGTGAGCTGGTGCTCTGTGAAAGAGCTCAGACATGTGGCTACAGAATCTCAAAATCAGCAAGAAGGTTTTTGACATTACGAGCATCTCGATCAGGCTCTACAAAGCTCTAGTATTAAGAGGAGCTAGTCACTTCCTTGCCAAGTGGAGGGCTCTCTTTGGTATGAGTGTTCCAAGAGGCACTCAGCTGTTCCCTTCCTCTGCCTCTTTAGGAAGGCCTTCTCCTCCTAAGATGGGCAAATGCTAATCAGGGTCAACAAGGTCAATTTGTAGCTTCTGGCCAAAAGACTGACAAGCCTAAGGTGCTGGATGGAGCCCAGAAGAAATGACTTTGGGTTCTCTCTTGCTCCATATTACCAGAATAACTTTCATTGAGATGAAAAATGCAGACTAAAATTTGTCTCATGGGAATCACTGGATTTCTTCAGGATTCATCAGTCTTGGGGGTGGTAACCTAAGCATTTACATTCAACATATTTGCTCTAAAGCAGTGGTTTTTTTTGATATTCCTCGAAGAGCCATTTTCCTGTTCAAGAGACTGTTATGGAGGGAAGCAAAATATCAACCTGGCTTGGTTGATATTATGTATGTCCTCAATGAATCTCAACTAATGTCTTGCCTCATGGGCCCTTTTTTTCTCCTCCTCCTTCTTTTTTTAAACAGATACGAATTTCGTGTTGGGGAATGCCCAGATAGTGGACTGGCCTATCGTGTACAGCAATGATGGATTTTGCAAGTTGTCTGGCTATCACAGGGCGGAAGTGATGCAAAAAAGCAGTACCTGCAGGTATTTATGATCGGGGCTGTTTTGTTGGACAATCCATTGCGGTATCTTTAGAAAAAGAAAGTGGCTTACTCAGTGTGAGAATCGCCTTCCTCCCATTCAGTGTGTATTCAGGAATGTTTATGATGATACCACCTCCAGTTCACACACTGTGCGGAGAAAATCAAAGACTTAAAACATGGTTCCCACCACCGACGAACTTGCAGTGAGGTGGCGGGAAACTGTAGAAAAACTCAGGAAAATCATTTTATCTATAAAAATGTGAACTCAGGAGTTTATGAGGTATGAGATAAAATTTAACACAAAAGTTAGAAGATTAAATATAATTAAGTCAAATTTATATGATTAAATTAATTTTAAGATTTATGGTTGTTTTAGAAGAATAGCTACAGTGTTGGAGACAAGGACTTTGTTCATAGAACATTTCATTGGGAAAACAGAAGAGAACCAATATTTTGTTGCCTTCTAATTTTTCTTACACCTCTCTCTGATCCCTGACTCAGAAGCTGCAGCAAATGGTGCTCGCAGTGTCGCTTGTGTATTTGACGGGGTTTCTGACCAGCAGCAAGCACCCTTGGGCCTTGGTGTTAGGACAGCTCTTTGAAAGCGTCTTCAAGGTGTGGAGTGGAACCTGCTGCAGACCTTGCCTTCAGGGCCCTGTCAGAGTCTTGGCTCAGCTCTGCCTTTGGCTGCTCTCACTCCCGTCTTTCTTCAGAGTCTTCTGTCTTCAGTATGTTTGCATGAAGCAGCATCATTTTCCCAATGCTGCCAAATCAACAAATAAACTCATCTATGAAAGGCGGAAAAACTTGTCTGCCCCAGGCATCATCTTTGGTTTTTAGAAGCTGCATTTTCATGCTATTAAGTCAGCCAAGTAACTAGATTGGTGCAAAGTATGAAATGTTTTGGATATACTATTTTCTTAAATTTTAGATTTTAGGGACTGGGAAATAGAAAATTTAAGATTTCCCCCCTCTGTTCAAAGGTTTAGAAATTATGGCTCTTAAGTAGTACAATAGAATTCTCATATTCTTGGTATGCTTTGTCCTCTTAAGTGTCTATATCTGCATCTACATCTATATATGCACATTTACGGGAAGAAAATCAGAAAAATTTGCTAACTTAGCCAACTTTTCTTTTATGTAAATTCTAAGAAACTTTTTAAATTCTCCGAAGGTGTCCCTCTCAAGAAATAAAGTAAACATATGTGGTGCTAGCTATATTTCTCATAGCTCAGGAGCCCTTTTTGCTTAATTCTTGCCGTGGAGGCATCTGAAATCTAATGTCTCGGAAAAGGGAATGTAACACCTACCAGTAAACTACAGCTTGAAAAGTACATAAGATGAATGAAAGCTGCCTGTCATATGGCACTTCTCTTATTTGAAGGCTCTATTTTACAGCCATTTGTTTTATCTTGTGAAGGAAATCGCCAGCATATATATACCATCACATCACTTAAATGGAGGTCGCTTATTTAGCAAATTAACTCCGAGAATGTGGGAGGAAGCTAAAAAGGCCTCTGAGCAACCAGCTAAATAAAATGATCATAGAGCTTAAGTTTTTAACCTCCTAGGAGAAAATCTCTTATTTTCAGGCAGGGCTGATTTAGCCTTGATCTATTCTTCTTTTAAAAGATAATTCAACAAGCTTGGTTATTTCTTTCCTGGTTTATAGGTGAAGAGCACAACCCAAAGGCGGAATGCTACATGAGATAGGCACAGAGGAACCGTAGACAATAACAGCTCTCAGCGGGCTGGAAAGGGAAGTAATCATACATGTGCCAGAGAATTCATAAAAAGTAAACATCTAGGGCCCTTTTCTTGGAAATCGGAAGCCTGCAGGAAGCCCTGGGCTGTTCCAGTATCAAGCTAAGCATGGCGCTTGACCTGGTGGTTCAGGAATTGCACTTGATAACCTCTCAGGTTCTTTTTAGCTCTGAAATTCTATGATTCTGTGATTCAAGTCATCAAGAAAAAGTTAGATTGCATTTGGCAGGCATAGTTGTAGAAGATGCAGAGTATACTGTTTAGGATCCCATGCCTCTGTTCTACATTACCTAAGACTTGAGGACTGAGTAGTGCTGTTCTTCTTATTGTCACCTGAGGCCTGGGCTGGGCAGGGGAGATGCTCACTGGGCCCATGAGGAGCCTTTTTCAGAGAACCGTCTTTTCCAGCCCCATTGAGAGATGAGTTTTCTCCTCTTGCCTTTTGTTAGTGTCCTGTGCCATCCTTCGCTCTGACTAGTTGAGGGTGTGTCTTGTTCCTAGAGGAACAAATCTCGATTTTCGGATGATTTTCAGTGTGGGGCCCAGCAGTTTCCTGCCTCTATCGAGAGCTAATACTAGTGGGTAGGAGCTTTACTCTCCAGAGTTTTCTCTAATTTTTTTTTTCCTCCTTAGTCAGCTTTTCTCCAAACATGAGTAGTAGGGAAGTGTATTAGTAAGAATTTGTAGGATTTTGTCATCTCAATTTTTTTCAATGCTTTTCTTCTTCTTTTTTTCTCTTTTTTTTCTTTTTTCTTTTTCTTTTTTGGTGGGAAAACGGTAGAAAAAAGAACTGCTTTTTTTTTTTTTTTTTTTTTTTTTTTTGGTGGGAAAATGGTAGAAAAAAGAGCTGTATGGACAGTGACTGAATCTTTTGGTTCTTTCTTTAGCTCTGTCTTAACGTTTAGAGCATCATCACATTGCACCCCTTTTCTTGTTTGGCTGGTGACTTTTTATGATTTTTTAAATTTTGTTTATTTTGTTGCATTAGAAGGAAAAAGGTGGCCCAAATTTACTCTGCATCTTTCCTAAGAGTTCTTTCAGGATAAAGTTTAAATTACTTCACAAGGCTTATTAGGCGTGTTCTCCACGGTCTGGCCTGTGCTCACCTCTCTGTGTAATCTGCTGCAGATTTTCCCCCTCATTGTCTATATTCCAGACTGAACTACATCCATTCAGGTTCCAGAATTAACCTCGGTCTCACCTCTGTGCCTTTGCATATGCCCATCATTTGCCGTGTATGTTCATTTTCCTCTTTTTCTCAGCTTATATCCACCTGCTCTTTAGATCTCATTTGTTCTTACCTCTGGGAGGCCTTCTGTGGCCACTCGGACAGTGCTCTGTGACTATTCTGTATTCTGTAATTCTTTTTGCATTGGCCATCCTATTTTCTGATCTACTCGTTTCTAGTGTGTCTCTCTTATTGGACTGTTTTTGGGGGGCAGTGATGGTGTCTTGATCACAGTCGAATCAGTAAATCCTTTTTGAGTGAATGTTTTCTGTGTGTGTGTGTGTGTGTGTGTGCGCCTGTGTGTGTGTGTGTTCATTCCACATAGCACAGTTCTAGGTATAGACAGATATTGAACATATTCTGGTAGCATAATTAATATTCGTTAACCTAACTGGAGCTCTTTGGTTGATTTGCAGTTTTATGTACGGGGAGCTGACCGATAAAGATACAATCGAAAAGGTGCGGCAAACGTTTGAGAACTATGAGATGAATTCCTTTGAAATTTTGATGTACAAGAAGAACAGTGAGTATTCAGGCCATTCTGAACCATATCTTAATGTGCTTGTCATAGTAAAATATCTCCTCTTCCTCTGTTGCTGTCTTGGGTTTTCTTCTCTCCCACGAGCTAAATGTCGTTACTTAAACCCATCGTGTGTGTTGGGATAAATGGTATGGATTGATGAGTTAGACTGTTCCTCACAGGAACATTTGAACTTGTCACTAACCAATCAAGTCTTCTTGATCTTTTTTTCTGCCAAGATTAGTGTTTTAGTGTCGATTTACTTATGGCGAGTTGCTGGCTTACACACTTGTAGACTTTACAACATCTTAGGGGAAGAGATGGGACAGACACTCTGTCCATTTCTTCCTTGTCTCTATCTCCCACAGCACCTAGCACAGTAGGTAATACCAGCAGGTACCCAATTAAGAGTTTCTGAATAAAATTTTGTTCTCCTGGTGACCTCAGTTTTTTATCAGAGATGGTATTAATAGTCACAGTGCATTGTTAATTTGTATTTGTTTTGGCTACAATTACTTCCACGAAGCATGTTTAATGAAGTTTTAGGTCAGTAGCCACATGTAAGTACAAAACTTGCCTTTCTCTTGGGAGAATGGAGATTAGCAATATTAGGAATATGGAAAGTGGAGCATATGGCTGTAACAGGGCTGCAGAGGTGTCAGAGAGAGCTTTTATTTATTTGTTTTTACAAACGCTGTTTTGTTTGTAAAGAATCCTGTTCTTTATATGTAGTATTAAATGGTAGGTTATAGGTTCAGTAGAACGTTTCCAAAATGGCCCAGATGGCATATGAGGACGTGGTGGCATTCAGAGTGATAGGTTTTGCTCTGGAAAGCAGGACACATGCTGCTTTTATCTGGAAGTAGCTGGGGCATTGTTTTCAGTCTGGCAGGTTGAAGCAGGCACCCGAGAGGACTGTTGCCTCGCAGATGCTGATTTGAGAGATTAGCTCTGGGCATCTACAGATCCGAGAGGGTGGTTCCTGTAACTTTTATGCTGGAGACGTTACCTTGCTCCATCTCACTTTTTCAGCCAGGAGGTCTAGCTCCTACCCCATCATTTGGCATAAGAAAATTGAGATGAAAGACTGTGAATAGCTCTATGCCAGTCCTTCCACTACGGGGAACACAACTCAACTCAAGGCAATAGCTCTGACCAGGAGCATGCCAGCAGAGGCCTTCTCTGCACGTGTGCCCAAGCTAATGGCGTAAATGAAAGGTTTTCCATACTGGAAGCTTTGTATACTGAACAGTGTGGATTTCCTCATGATACAGAACACGGATTGGGTAGGTGTATCACTAAAATAATTCCTTGTATTTATATTTTGCTACAGAGGTTTTAAGCTTCATTAAACTGTGTGTTTAACTTGTCCAGATTCCACTACATTTGTTTGGCACAAAAGGGAGAGAGAAGGAAGCATAATTTAAATTGAGTTAGTGATTTCACCTGCCATTCTTTCAGTGAGCATGAGACCCAGAGTGAGTGTGAGATGGGAGAAGGGAGTCTGCTCTTCCTTCTGCGCCTCCAGGACTGAAGGCCTTGTGTTGCATCTCATCCCATGAAAGGTGATTCCGGTGTTTAAAGTTGTGTACTTTAGGTAGACCTGGCCTCTGCATGTCAGCCAGTTAGTTCAGCTGATGTTCTATAAAGTATCAGCATCTTTTCTCTCCCTGGAGGTTGAGGTGAGCTTACTGAGAGATGCATGGCAGCCCCGGCACAGGGCTGCACCTTACAGGTGATGTTAAGGCATTTTCAAGAGTAATTGTGGTCATATGCAATTTTTGCCCTACTCTTTGACTTTAGAAAATAAACTGGAGAGTATGACTCCACTCTATTTGAAAATGTTGATTCTCTAAGCCTTGTGAAGTAGGCATGGCTGATGTCATTTATTTCCATGGTATAAAGAGTTAGATAGTTTGATACCTTACCTGAGGTCATGCTCAGCCAGGACCGGGTTTCCAATGCTTATTCCATGGCCATTTTTCTGAGACTGGGACAGTGTAACTGTGAGTGCAAGACAAGGCCACCTCATATGGTGGTCCAGGTAACACACTGTATAGGGAACAGCTGGAAACCAGCTTGCTCCTGGCCTAGAATTGCATCTGTGCCGAGGGAGGAGCTTCTCTTTCTAATTTACACAGAGATATCTAGTGGATGAGCAGGGGTTCCACAGAAGGCTAAGCCTGAACATAAAATGTGAAGCATGAAATTGAGGTGGATAGTGTCAGTTTCTTCCTAGGAACCTGCTCCCTGCTCCCGACTCCTCCAAATCCCACCCTCTCCTGAGGAATTGAGAAACTTGAAATTATTTATTAAGCTTGGGAATTTTATATGAGTTGCACCAAATTCTATGCTTTTTTTCAAGTTTTTTATTGACCAACTATGTCAGACACTAGACTTGCTGCCAGGGATGCGGTTACAGAAAAACAACCTCTACTCTCACAGTGTTTGCAGGGGTGGGGGCAGCATCCACAGGACAGAGCTATAAGTATTTTGATGGTGACACCACATGGGGGGTTATTTAACCCCAACTTATGAGGTCAGGGAAGGATGTCTTCCTAGAAGACAGGAAATCTATGCAGAAACTGAATGATAGGTATCAGGTAGGCAGAGAGAAGGGCAAAGAGTACCCCAGGCTGATGAAATGCACAAAGGAGGGCTGACTATGGTGGTGACCACTGACTGGCTCTTTCCTCAGTTTGCCCGGCTTCACGCAGTGCCCAGGAAGTGGGAAGCACAGCACTTCCTGTTAGGAACTTCTTGTCTGGCCTGAAGTAAAACTAACCAAGAATCTAGTACAGAGCCCGACCTGGAAGGGGTGCTCAGCGAATGTTTGTTTGAGTGGCTTTGAACTTGAGATCAAATATGTGGTCACAGAAAGAAATCTAACTATGGGCAGTGAATACACAATGCAAAATATATATGACTTACCGTTGAATTGTACACTTGAAACTTATTGGATTTCATTAACCAATGTCACCATAATAAGTAAAATTAAAAAAAATAAATAAAAAGGTAAATGAATTTTCTTTTTTAAAAAAAGGAACTCGATAGTTACCAAGAAACAGATGAAAGAAAAGTATGTAATTCAGAGAGAGGGCATCAGAGCTGAGGACTGAGCAGCGTGGGGCTGAACTGACCTGTGATGGAGCGGGAGGAGCAGACCGAGCATCAACGGGTGGGAGGAGAGAAAGGAAGAGGCAGAGTTTGCTTCTATTTTTAAACTTTGTGGTTCATTAGCTTGAAACTTTCATCATTTTTAGCAGTTTTGAGTCCCATGGGGGAACTCCCCCTCCTTCTGTTGAGATTTTAAAATGTGAAATGTCATCATCTAAAAGAATGTTTATTTTTCTTTCCCATTTTTAAATTAATGCATTTTTACTGTGGAGAATAAAAGAAGGCATAAAGAAGAAAAATGGTCACCCCAAAGACAAAGATTCAGAGGAATACGACTATCCTCTTAACTTTTTGGTGTGTTTCTTTTTAGTTTTTGTCTGTGCACATGTTACATAATTGAGATTTTGACATATATGCAATTTGAAATCATACAATTATGTAATCTTTTATCACAAAAATATCCCCATTGTTAAAATTCTTCGAAAACATAATTTGGAATTTTATTAATACTTCTGTTACTGGATATTTATAAGGCTCGAATATATTTGTGCAAAGATATTTTGTGGACATTATGAAATCTTTCCTAGAAGTTGAGAATTACTGGGTCAAGGGATATGAACTAAGGTTTCTGGGACATTTTGTCAAATAGTGTTCTGGGAATCGAAACCCATTTTCAAGTTCACTTGAATATTATGAGCATCCAACTCCGTACCATGCCAGCATAAAACAGTATAATTCTTAAATTATCAAATTGCCTACAATTATTTTTTTCGCTTAATGAGTATTTTTAATGTGAGTGAGATTCAAGTATTTTTTCCTATTTACTATCCATTTGAAATTATACTTTTGAATGTTAATTGTCCAGATTCTTTGCCTGTATATTCTATTTAATTCTAGTGATTTTCTTACTGATATTTTACAAGCTCTTAATAAATTGTTTTGATTCTTTTTTCACCTTCTCCCATTCTTTAGTATTTGCAAGCATAATTTTGTAGAAAGGATCGTCTATTGATAAGCATTAATATTTGTCATACCCTTAGGGGGTGTTGGCAGTAGAAGGCTTCATGGTGTGTTTTGGAATGAGTGTATAGAATACCATTAAATATCTTGAAGGATGGATTATTTAAAAGGTTTCTTTCTATCTATTGGACAGTCTGACCAGTAAACCTGTACATTTTGGTTTGCTATATATTTTGTATTGTTACTTGATTCATTTTCAGTATGGCAAATAATTTTCTTACATCAGCGACAGTTGTCATTAATAAACTCATTCAGTAATCTTGTGCCAGTCAGTTAGTTTTTCCATTTTTCAAATGAGAACATCAAGAGGTATCAGCCTCGAGTGAAAGCAGTACACCCTCTGGGGAACAGTTACCAGTGTGGGACTGACTCCATGGCTTGTGGCTAGGCTGGTGGCCCTATGTTGGGGAGCTCTGGATCAGCATCTCCATCAGAGAAGCCCTGAGAAAGTCATCTTGTAGCATTCTACCAGGCCAGAAAGAAGCTGCTGGCCAAGCACCTATTGATTACCTACTGTAGGCCTGTGGGTTTGAGCCAGCGAGATCCAGATATAAGAAACTGAGTCTGCCTTGGAGGAGGTTATAATCTAGTTGTGGAGAAATATCTAATAGGAAAACAGTCATATTTTGCCTAGTTTCCTAATGGATTGTCTTCTGCTTATTCAGGAGCTATAGGGGATATTGATCCCAAGTCACACACAAAATGAAAAAAAAATTTTCATATTTAAAAAAATTTGTTTTAGAAACTTAAAAAAATACTATATAGAAGTAAAAAATTTTTATGTCAGTATTTTTCTTTGTGGTTCTGCGCTTTATATAGTACCTTGGAAGCTCTTCACCTTACTCAGATAATAAAAATATTCTTCCATTTTTACTTCTGATACATTTATAGCTATGTTAGAGTATTTAGAACATTAAACCATTTGGAATTTATTTTTATGTATTATGCGATGTAGCAGTCTAACTTAATTTACTTTCCACAGTGCTTATTTAGTTGTCTCAGTATAGTAGTCCTCCCTTATCTGTGGGGCATGCATTCCAAGACCCCCAGTGAAAGCCTGAAACCATGCATAGTACCAAACCTTATAGATACTATGTTTTTCCATATACATATATATACCTTTTCACTTAAAGAAAGCACTATATGGATTCTCGTTGACGTATCTGAATTGGCAGCATGTCTACTCTTGAACTTTGGGGCCATTATTAGGTAAAATAAGGGTTCCTTAACACAAGCGCTGCCATACCACGACAATTGACTTGATCACCAAGATCGCTAAGTGCCTAACGGTCGGGGAGCATACACAGTGTGGAGACGGCGGGATGATTCACATCCCAGGCGGATGGAGCAGGGCCTCACATGATTTCATCACTACTGAGAACAGTATGAGACTTCAAGCTACTTAGAATGGTACATAATTTAAAACTTATGAATTGTTTATTTCTGGAATTTTCCATTAAGTATTTTCAGACCACAGTTTACTGCAGGTAACTGAAATTGTTGAAAGGGAAATCTTGGATAAGGTGGGGCCACTACACTATTTGTTAAAAATCCAGCTCTTCTCTTCTCATTTGAAAAGCCCTGTTCTTTATATGCTGAATTCTCACACATTCTTGGGTTTATTTCTCTCCTCTCCTTTTCCAGGAATCTTTTTGTAACTTATTCGCTGCATGAGTTTGGTTACGATATTTTTCCAGTGGTCTTCACCATATGTAAAATGGGAATAATGTCATAGCAGCAATTCTACCTCTCAGTTGTGAGAAGTGAACCATAATATATAAGGACATGGCTTCACTGTAAGCACTTAGTAAATGTAGAATTATTTTCATCATTGCTTGTTTTAGGGCCTGTGCCAATGGCTCTCAATTACAGTAGTAGGTAGTCCTTGTCATTTTTCTTTTCAAAAATTTCTTGGACATTCTTCTATTTTTATTTTTCTATTTGAATTGAATTTCAGTTCATCAAGCTCTGAGAATAACAAATGAAAAAAGAACAATTGAGGTGTCGTTTGAAATTGCATTACATTTGTATATTAAGTAGGGAGGTCTGACTTAAAAAATTGAATCTTCTCATTTACAAACAATGTAACTTCATTTGTTTAGGTTTCGTTTTTTGCTCTTCAATTAATTTTAATTACTTCGAGGCTTAAGCCTTGGTTTTTCTAGCTTTCTGCTTGTTGTGGTTGAGACTGGCTCTCTTCTCTCAGAGCAGGTGGAGGCAGCTCCAGAGTTTCATTAAACATATGAGATACATGCTCTTTTAAGCCATCCAAACACCCCTGTGATGTGATAGTGAGCATTTCAATCTTACAGGTGAGGAATTTAAAAGGAAAGAAGAAAGTAATAGTTTTAAATAACTATGTACGAGACATGTGTTTATTTTTACTGCCTCTAAAGCAGGTCTATTATCCCCATTTTACAAATGAGGAAACTGATTCTAAGAGAAGTTAAAGTGACACAGCCAAGACAATCAATAAAGGAAGAGATAGGGCTCAAACACAGGGTTTAACCTGTATCTCCCAGTGGTCATAAATGGAATCTAAAGATTAGATGGCTCAGTGCCTACTGGAACATTCACAGGCACTGGACCTGGCTGATACAGCGTAGTAGAGGGCCCACAGGTGGCAGCTGTGAAAGAGAAGGTTCTTGGGATTCCAGCAAGACAAGGCTCCTGGTGTTAGACATCATGAATGGGGGGGGGTCCCCTTATTTGATTTATTACTAGTTTGATAAATTAGAAGTGCTTTCTGGCTTACCATCTTAAAAGAAAATTGCTTAAAGTTTTCTTTAGAGCAAAAAGAAAATGGTTTTTTGATTTGTTTGCTTTTTGTCTTACCAGCTAAGATATACCTGAGAGCTGTGGGTGTGTAGGATCAATTGGTGTGACATTCTCTTTTGAATTTTCTGTTGCTTAACTGAAAATGGTTTAAAATCCTACAGATTCTGAGGAGGGGACTCGGAGGAGTAGTAACAAAATTTCTAAACAGTGGATAATTCAGAGGCCATATTCTTGATTTTGGAATGCTATTTGTGATTTTTGTCTGGTAGACTTTTCTTTCAAAACATTTTCTTAGTGACATTATAGTTTATTTGTCTTCTAAGAGCACCCAGAAACTGATAGCTGAAAATGATGGAAAGAGAAAATGAGCAGAAGATCAAAATTAACTATGGGTGAATATGTAGTAGTTAAGATTTGAGGAGAACATATTCCCATCTGATCCGTTTGCTGCCTGTTTGAGTGTACATTTTAGGGTTATTCATACTTACATATGAATAAGTGGTATAGCCAGATGTGTAAGCGAGTTATCATTAAGTCGGCTAACCCTAACGTTAATCAGAGATGTCTCTCTGTCCGCGCTGTGTAGCGTAGATGTTGATGTGATTGCAGGCAGAGAGACCCAGGTGACCTCTTGAGGACCTGTTTCCATCGCCAAGATTCAGTGAGTTATTTGCTTAAGTTACTTAGAGTTACTATCTCCTAAAATAAGATAAAATGCTGAGCACAGTGCCTGGCATGTAGGCTGCTTCTCTAATACTTAACAACCTGGAGAAATATTTACTGGGGTTTTTTTTTTTTTTTTCCACTTGAAAATGGTCATAAAATAGTATGTAAAGGGATATTCCAGTTATGCAAAATTTAGCAAGTAGTTCCTAAGTTCTTACATGCCAGATGCTGTTTTAGAAACTGGGCTACAGAACTAGATAGGGAAGAGCATCCTGTTTTGTGTCTCGTTTAATTTCATTTCACAGAATTGATTGGTCAGTCTGGCCGATGTCCTCTACAGATAGGAAATACTTGTTGTTCTCCCCAGTTTGTTTTTGGAAGACATAGGCTAAGTGAGTGCCCTTTCTGAGAAGTCAATCAGATAAGCCCTGCCCACCTTCTCCTTCTGTGGATCAGAGCAGTGCTTTGGAAGAGCTTATGTATCCCCCACTTTAGCTCAGGAACAAGGAATGGAAGTTGAAACATTCACCAAACTTCCTAAGGCACTGCTGTAATCACAGCCGTAACCCAAAAACCTCCCTTTCTGGGGAAGCCTTTGCTGAGAGAATCACTGTGGTGATTCTTTTCTTTCATGTGTTGTCATTTGCTATTGTATCGGACCCTTTGGGTTTTTCTTTTGGGGAGAAAGACTTAGAAATATAGTTTCGGACCCACAGTTTATTGAGCATGGGAGCCAAATTGATGGATTCCCAAACTGGATTTTGCACTGGGGCCCTTTAACAATGGAAATTTGAGTTTGCATAGTCTGCCGGCCGTGGTTGATAGTGCCCATCCCGGCCCCTACTCTCTACTTGTCCACTACGTGGTCTAAGGTAAGTCTTTAGATCTCTGTACCTTAGTTACTTCCATACATCAGGAGGGATTTTCAATCTGTTTTCTAATCATTTTACAAGAGTTAAGAGATCTGCACTTAGAAAAATTATTTGAACAGAAGAAAAGCACCACTGAGTAGTCACTGTGAAAGTTTTTATTCCAGCAAGAAGAGAAATTAATGGTATAATAACCCCAGCACCCAAAGGAATGAAGCTTTCTAAAACATAAATGAATATTTGTACCTATTCATTCCCAAGTCTTCACTTCCATAGCCCCTCAAATGAGAAGGCAAATTACTGACCAACCTTTTGATATTTCTTTCAGGGACACCTGTGTGGTTCTTTGTGAAAATCGCTCCAATTCGAAATGAACAGGATAAAGTGGTCTTATTTCTTTGCACTTTTAGTGACATAACAGCTTTCAAACAGCCTATTGAGGATGATTCATGTAAAGGTTTGTAATTCTGATTTGTACTAATATATTTATGCCTTTTTTTTTTTTTTTTTGCCTGTAAGTGTGACTCTTGTTACAGAGAATTTGAGGTTGCCAAGGCAATCTCTGCACAAAGATCAAGATTTAAACTTTAATATGTTGAGTAAAGCATTGTATCATTCTGGAATACATTGAGGGAGGAGAAAGAGAGAAAAAATCTTGTTTTGGAAAACATGCGAATCAATTTCATACCTTTTTAGATTAACCCTTTCCAAGAAAGTTCAGATAGAAGAAGGTAGTTGGGCACTTCTGGTATCATCAGAATCTTTTCAGGTTTTCACATGACAGTTGTCTGTCACCCAAATGAGGCAGTCCATGGCCACATTCATCTCATTTATATATAAACTTCTTTAGATTTGACTGAGTTCTAGCATTTCAAGATTTTTAAGATAAATTTTAGCATGTCTACCTGCCTGATTAAGTCCACAGACAGTTAATTCATTTGATCATTTAATCAGCTGTGACCACAGATTTTAGCTCTCACCTCGGCTATATCACATGCATGTATTATTGAAATAACATTGGGGATTAGGAAAGGAGATCGCTCAGAATTTCTGGAACAACTAAACTCCTGAAGGGGTCCCGCTCATCAGGATATACAAAAGATGGTATGTTAGTCTCAGAGGTTTGGGTTAGGGGGTGTCACAGCACGCTTTTCCATCCCTCTTCTATAGTGTGCACCCAGGATAACCAAGAGACGAAGGGAGCTTTCATATTGTAGTGCTTCCTGGCTCTGTGGTTGATTTTCCAGCTCTACCGGTGAGCTTTGCTCATTGTGGTTTCCTGAGATGCAGCAGAGAGACGAGAGTGGAGTCCAGGAGAGAGTTAAACCAGGGAACATTATTCTTGATGGGACAAAATGCTATTGTTAAATGGACATTATAGGAGGAAATAATTAACTCTATTGTTAATTACGTGGATGCTCTCTCAGGGGCTATGTCCTCTGAGGATATTTAAAATCCTAGCACATTTAGGTGCTCACATTTATAGAGTTCAGAGCACAATGCTGTGTATACCAGTGCATCCTATTTTTTTTTTTAACTATCTGATAGTGTAATAAATTAATTTCAGCCTGCCTTTTGGTTTTGAGAACACAGAAGATATATAGTCTCTCAACCAGATTTGTAATTCTCCAATTTTTAGTTTCTGACTCGAAGATTTCTCAGTGCAGTAGCTATTATGTGGTGATAGACTCACTCATGATTGTCATCTTGCTACTGTCTAGAAAGGCCATTTGCTTTTTTGACTGAATAAACTCATAAATAATATTTTAAAGGTAATCAGATATTTTGACACTTATTTTTGCATGCAATTTTTCACTTAACAATTACAACACGTGATTTGGTTGAGTTAGAATGTTTTCTTTTTGTCGCCACTAGGATATTTGCAGATGACATGAGGTGGTGTCGGTTATCAGGAAAGGCATACTCAACAGAGAATACTCCTCACATGTCACCTAGTGTCTTCATTTGATTCTCATGAAACCTGAAAGAAGAGATAAATCACATTCATCTCTTCTGTGTGATAAGTGAGACTCATTTCTGTGAGTGATGAAGTGAAACTCACTTAGACTCACTTTCTTTCAGGAAGAAAATGCTCCACTTCATTGAATCTGCCTCAATGATATATTTCCTTTCTGATAAAAGAGTTTTGTTACACACACACACACACACACACACCACACACACAGACACACACACACAGTCTTACTTATTAGCCAAAGAAACCAGATATTATCTTTGTGAAATAAATAGTAATAACACGTGGCTTGATTTGTAAAAATTTAAAACACAGATGCATACCCTTTAGCCCTCAATGTAGGTGGATCATGCTGCTAGTGGATCATACTTAGTGTCTCCTCTGGGACATGACTTTATAAGCCTGTTTATTTCAAATGCCATGACAGACATGCTTAGACCCTCCCACCTGTCATGTCACTGGGACCCTGGCCCACATTGATGTGCTGGTCTGCTTAGGACAAGATCAAATTTTATCCTAATCTATTTATGATGGAAGAGCATGTTAATTCTCCAGGCCTTGTTTGTTGTAAGTCCATAAACTGCAGTTCTGGCCGCAAGGATCAAATCAAGATGGAAAATACGCTGCTGTGTGGCTGGATTGTTCTCTGCCATGACCTTCCTCCTTGGATGTGCTCTCACACGGAGATTCCAGCAGACCCAGCCTGGGTTTCGGCCCAACACTTCCGTCAGAAGAGTCCTGAGAGTCTCGCTGACCCAGGCTTGTTTAAAATTCACTTTTGAGATGAAATGGGAGGGTGGATAATCCAAACCCCCAGAAAAATCCCCAGATAATTGCTCCTTGGCGTAGCAGCATGAGATGTTTTCCCACCACCAGATTAGTTTTTTTTAAGTCAGTTGTGCTCAGATTGTCTCTAAAAGGACTATGTTTTCTCTGATCATGTAGTGCCTCATGTCAGGCTTGGGAATGGGGTGAGTTCATCCTCATAGTGATGGAGAAGCCAGTTTGTGCCTAACATTTTCTCACAAACGACCCACAGAGGGGTAACCGCATGGGATAATTGGCGGCAGACTGTTTTGACACCTAATACAAGGTAACTCGCCTTTCACGGAGCTTGGAGCACATGGGCCCCGGGAATGCTCCCTGAACCCCCTCTTTCATTAGTTTGTCAGTTGTCTTATCCTTTTTATGAATTATCCAGGCCCTTGACTTCCTCATCTTCTCTTTTCTGTCCATTTTTTGACTGATTCCCTTGCTGTCTGACAAAGAATGCCCACTTTGGCGTGGAGCAGAAATGAAGGTCAAGCTATGTTTGCTGTTTGGTAACAGCTCTGGATTTCTCTCTTATCCCCCATCCCCCTCCAATAATCTTGTGTTAAAGGAGCAAGTTCTTTTTCAAAGATGCACATATTGACTTCTAAATTCATACTTAAACTTGAGCCAAACACGGACGACAAAATGAATGGAAAACTCCAGAGGAGATTTTAAAAGTCCAGAGATTTAGAATATTTGGGGATGAGGGCTTTGGCAAGCTGTCGTAGCTTCTGACCCTTCTCCATATGTCTTCATGTGGGATATTTGTCAGGCCCTCCTGGGAAAGAAACAGAGCAATGGATATAAGCCATTCCCCCTCTCCGCCTCCAATATTCACATGTCGTCTTGGCCCTTAGGATGACAGAATGTGAACTGCTACTTGAAGTCATCCTAGATTTTTGATTATTTGTACACTGATAGGGAAAAGACTGGGGGAGGGAGACTTGAGGACACTTAGGCAGTGTCCACATGGACTGCCCATCCTGGTCCCGTGTGTCCATCGATCTTTTCTGGATGTTGGGTTATGGCACCAGCTCCTCTAAGGGGATCTGTGACTACAGCTCTGGACAAGCCTGGCTTCACAGTCCCCCAATCGGAGTGAAGAAAACTCATAGGAGTCTTCGGTAACTTCCACTCATAATGACTCAGCACCGTTCCCAGGGAGGGGCCTATAGATCTGTCTTTTTGGTATCTCTGCACTTACCTTGGAGGAGCTGGAGTCCCAGCTCATCCCACAGCCATCTCTTCTGGCCTGGGGGAGGATACGGGGCTGTGTGGGCTAAAGCAGTTTAGTGGGGGCTCACCCCAGTTGAAACCAGAAGCCATGTGGAGTCAAGGAAGGGGGAAGTGGTTATCCTTGCTGAGAATGGGGACAGGAGCCCATAAGTACTTCTGAGCTGATTGCACGTGTTCCCTTCCTTCTGTCCTTTTCCTCTCATGCTTCCACTTCCTCTCCTGCCCACCCCCCCTCACCCAAACGACACCCAATAAGTGTGTGCTGAATAAACGGAAGTCTCCCTAAGGAAAATGGGTGTACACAGGAGGGAGTGGGCAGCTCTGCTGGGTGTCGGGCAGTAACCGGGAAAGGCTTCCTTGAAGGGCGGGGGTGCGTCAGCTGCCTTCCTTGAACTAGATTTTCAGTGGATGGTCCCCTCCCAGTTTGCACTGTGGACAACGGGAGATCCCTTCCTTCCAGGATTGTTTCTCCCGATTGCTATGAGACATCTTTGGTCCAAATTGCACATATTATCTTCCATCAAACCCGTTTCCTTCTCTTCCTGTGTTTATAATCTCATTGCACAGCTGTCACCCACTCACCCAACCGGGAACCCAGAGGCCACCTGGATTGCCTCTTCTCTCCCTCTACAGCTACTGTTCATCAACTCCTTTTGAATCTATCTGGTAGCTGTTCTCAAGTCTTCCCTTTTGGCCTGGCCTAGGCTACAACATGTGTCCAGGCCCCCATGGTGTCTTGCCTGGGGTTCTGACTTGTCTTTTCTGTCACTTTTTTTTTTTTTTTAAGTATACTGTCTACACTGCCGTACTACCCTTCTTAAAAGAACTCAGTTTATGTTTCCTTCTACCCACCTTACTTAAACTGCTTCAGTGATTCTCCATGAGTTTTAGGATACAGTTCAAATTTCTTAACATGCTGTCTGGCTTCTTATCACTTAAGTTCTTCTTGATCTGGCCTCTGACAACTTCTTTAGCATCACGCTGTGTCTGCACCCTTCTCTCCTCCACAGGCCACGCCTCATTTATGCCACTTCGAATGCCACTTCGAATGCCTTACTGTTCCCAACATATTACCTGACTTTATGATTTTCTGCCTTCATAGGTGCTTTTCCTTTGTGTGGAATATCTATCTTTTCCTTTTTGAGTTCTTAACTCCTGCTCATCTTCCAAAATTTTCCTCTAGTGTCACCTCCTCTGGGAAGCTCTCCCTGATTCCCAGGCTGGGTTAGATACACCTTCTCTGGACAGTCTTGGCCATATCATCCCATACTCATCTCTGTTATAGAACTTAGCTTACTCTATCACCGTTTTTAAACAATGTATTTGTCAGTCTTCCCTACTAGAGGGCATGCTCTTTGAAGCCAGAGTCTGTGTCTTCTTTATCTTAGTATCTCTAATACCTAACGTCATGCCTGGTATATAGTAGTTATGTTTATAGAACTAATACATGAATGAATGAAATTCTTTTACCTGGTTAGGCAATGATTCTTATTAGAAAGTATCCACAGTTCAGAAAGGAAAACGTGGGGGCGGACTTTGGGAAAGAACTTATTTCCTTCCTTCAGAATAGGCAGAGCCTGCCCATCCCGGTGGAAGTGTGATGGCAGATTTCACACTGTTTATCCATTTTCTCCATCCAATACCCACTCATCTTCCCGTGCCCTCCACTCAGCCTGCTCTTTGAAGAGCCACATTCTTGGAAAGTGACTCAGGGCTGGAACAAATAGTGAGAGCCTAGCCGGAGCCGGAGAAATGCCCAGAGGGCCAGGGAGCTTTCTTTTCATCCTTTTGTGCTCTCTCAGCTGATGGACCAGGGCCCTGAGCTCCCTGCAGGCAGGATTGGGAAGTCTGCCCTGCCACCTACTTCTTATTGTTGTTCGTAGAGTCTGGGTCATGGTGGGGGTGGTAATGATGGTCGTGGAGGGGCGGGGATGGGGGGTTGCAGAGCCCTTGCCGATGTTTTCATGCACAACTATTTTCTATTTGATTGAAAAATGCACTCTCTTCTCTTCTTGAAAAGCTTTGTAGAATTCAACTCCCGCTTTGTTTTGAGCTGAAGGAGAGCCTGACTCTGAAAGAGACTTTAAAAAATTCTAGTCCACAGTTGACATTAGCAAATTCCAGTGAGCATGTTCATAAATGGCACATTTGAGGGAGATGTCAAAGACCCCTGCAGAGCCTGGGCTGTCCCTTCCTTTTAGCATTAATGGGGTCCCCTACGGCCCGACCACCATGGGCTTCTTTTCAAGCTGGCTCCAGCAGCCCCATTTCTCTGCTTAATGGCATCAGGATGGATGATGAAAATGCCACTACTGTTTATTAAAGCCCAGAACTTCTGGAATGTGACAAAAAAAGAACTTTTTGCTATTCTTGCCATGTCGACAAAAATTTATTCAGATCATGATTCTTAAAGGTTGTGCAAAGAAAGGACGAGCTCCATTTTCCTCTGGATTCTAAGTCTATCTTGAAAAGCTGCTCCAGGGTAAAATTTGGCCGATGAGATTTCTGCTGCCAGGTGCTGAATACTGCCAAACTTAAAGGACAGAAAATAAAATTGCCTTGTCCTGTTTTTAGCTGTCATGTGAAAATAGTTTCATGCTGTGTTTATTTGCTGGAGCCCCTCAACCCCAAGTTTGGCCTTGGGAACCCTGACAGGCTTTCAGAAGTCTTATGGGGCAATTGCCATGGTCATAGCCTTGATGCAAATGAGTTTGGGATATTGGGAATGGACAATCGTGTTTGGGACCTTTAAAAGATTACTCATATGTCTTAAATTCTCAGTCAAGTTCATTCATATGTCTTAGAGTCTGGGATATACAGTGGGCTGGATTGAACAAGACCAGCATTTTACTTTTCCTGGAGGGACTAGTACAGAGGGCCAGGGAAGCCTCCGGACAGCCTCTGTTTTAGCCCACTAACCACAGCCCTCTAAACTTAGCGCCTTCGTTTTACCAGGCAAATGCGCTTAGCCTTTAGGAAAGTAGAGTGTTTTAATTTCTACTTTACTGATGGGATAATTGAAGCCCAGAGAACTTAAACAACTTGTGGTGATCACAAAGCAAGCTGGAGGCAGAGATGGGACTTGTATCCAGATTTCTTTTCTGCGTTCTTGGTACTAAGTTCAGTACTAGGCTCTTTTAATTTCTTGTTTTAAGGGGACCTGCCATCAACCGTCTTTCCCCTACACCAGAGCAGGCTAAAATGTGCCAGTGCTTTTCCCCTCACCTACCCAGGGATTAAATTCATTTCTTATTCCCCTGGCTTTGGAGAATGTAACGTATAGAACGATGATTTGACTAGCTTGTCTGTCTAAAACGTGGAACCATCTTGGTTCCAGGTGGTCCCCGCATCAGGTGATGTGGGGCTTGGGAACAACCTGAGCCCAGTCACAAAGTCAGAGAAACACCTCTATTGCCTTGTAGTATTTGGCAGAAAGGCCTTAGGCCAGAGCAGAGAGATCTGGGTTCTAGACTCTTTCTCTTTGTCTAGGCACTCTGTGTCTTGCTTTCACTTTTGCAAAGTGGTACTAAAACCTGCCCTACCTATTTCACCAGCTGAGATCAGGATAAAGTGAAAGCGCAAGGGAAAAGTAAATCGCTACACAAATTTGAGCATGTCTGCATGCTTTTCTGAGCAGCGACTCTCACTGCGAAGAATGCGGAGTGACTCATGGGAGCTCGGGAGGACAATGGGGATGTCTGCTTCTGACCGTGTAACTTGCGGTGTGAATGTCCATGTGCCTCAGGACAACGTTGAACTTGTCTTTTCTCTTTTCCACATGCTTCAGGCTGGGGGAAGTTTGCTCGGCTGACCAGGGCACTGACAAGCAGCAGGGGTGTCCTGCAGCAGCTGGCTCCCAGCGTGCAAAAAGGCGAGAACGTCCACAAGCACTCGCGCCTGGCCGAGGTAAGGGCAAGAGGTCAACTGATCTTACACCTCACTTCTGTGGGGGCCACTGGCTGGGAAAATGGTACGGAGCAAGTATGCTGGTTTGCAGGGACATTCAGGATCTTGTCCTGGCTGGGCCACACACCACAATGTGTGACTTTGGATAAGTGACCGAATTCCCTTCAGCTTTGTACTTTGTACCTTCCCATGTGTGGAAGGGACTGCAGACAGCTCTGTTCCAACTTGCTTGAGATTACGTGTCAGTTCACTTTTTCGAAGGAGTAGGGAAGGAGGTAGAAGGACTATATATACAAAGGGGCTTTACTTGTAAACCATAAACAATTTTATTATTTGAGCAATACATAGTGTTATATAAAAATAATATACAGGAAATAAAAAGAAGAAAATAAAAATCACCTATAATCCCACTATCCAGGGTGTTATCCTCCCTTTGGCTGGGACAGGTGAGAGGCTGGGAAGCCAGGACAAGGTGTTGGCCAAGCTTAATGCACCAAAATTACTATTATCTGTCTTTGGTGATGCTTGGTCTTCATTTTATCAACTAGACCTGGGTGGTATCGATTAAGATCATTATACCTTCCACACGGCAAACTTCCATCTTACCCAACGATGACAACAAAAGCTGTCTCTCTGCCTGGTGGCGGCCAGTCAGTTCTTGATCCATGCTTGAATGACAGGGCCCTTTCTGACCTGACCCCTGGCTCCCATCCTTCTAAGGGAGAAACTCCCAGCGTGGTGCAGCTCACAGCGGGTGCTCTGCATGTGTGCAATGAACATCAAATGAGTTAACTACAGAGGATGTCCTTGTAGCAGCCAAAAGCTTTCACCAGCAGTGGAGACGGTAGCATTCATTTGTGTCACGTTAGAGAGATGTTTGTATGGCGGCAGCATTGTTTTCTTGTCGTGATGTGGGCTCAGCTTATGATAGAAATAATAATAAAAGAAGCCTTTCAGCTTACAGCCTGTACTTTCCCTGTCCTTGTTTCTTCTTTTGGTTAATAAAGTAACCTCTCCTACTGTTCTTTGCCTTGCTCACTCTTATTCTATTCCTGGTACACACCAGGCTTGCTCTTCCCACAGATATTTGTGTGTGACAACTCCTTTACCAGCTGCAAGTCTTTGCTCAAATGTCGTTTTCTCTGTGTGGCTACCTGTATCGATCAGGGTTCTACCAGAAAAATGGAATCAGTGAGATGTTTACATATTAGGACATTTATTGCCAGGAGTTGGCTGACATGGTTGTGGGGTGCTGGCTAGGCAAATCCCAATTCGCTGGGCAGGTTGGCAGACCGGGGACTCTTGGGAGGAGCTGATGTTGAAGTCTACAGATAGAGTTTCTTCTTCCTCAAGGAAACCTCAGTTCTGCCTTTAAGGCCTTTCAACTGATTATATGGGGCCCACCCAGATTCTAGAGTATAATCTCCTTTCCTGAAAGTCAGCCGATTGTAGGTGTTAATTGCATCTACAGAACACCTTCATAGGAATGCTTAGATTAGTGTTTGATTGAATAACCTGGTACCATGGCCTAGACAATTTGACTCTTAAAATTAATCATTACAGTTTACCCTTGTCAATTTGGCACTCATACATATTTCTTTAAACCATACTAATCTCCAAATAAAGACAATAGCAAAATCATACTTCAGCCTAACCAAATATGCAGAGTCCTTAGGTGATGTCCTTGGGTGACTCCTCTCCTCGGTATCCAGTAACTTAATTACTGAGATGTAAACTTAACTATAATTAATATATCTTATGTTAGATGATAAGGGCATAAGAGAGGGAAGAAAATAAAGTATTTCCTTAGCCTATATACATATATGTTATATATAAAGCAAAATAAAAAAAATACTCATAACAACCTATTCTATATGTTTTTTCCACTTAATACCTTCTAATGTACTGTATGGTTTACTTATTTATTGTGTTTGGTTTTCACTAATATGTTCTAAGCACTTAAAACAGTGTCTGGCACATAATAGATGCTTGTCAGTAGTGTTTTTCAAAAATTTTATCAAATGGATGAAAGAAAAGAAATGATGTTAATGTTTTTGTCTACCTGTCTGGCCTAAGTAGTTGGTCTTGATTGGCACTGTGAGGCAAACATCTGGGTCCCATCCCAGGGGCTTGTAAACTTTAGTTAGCCTAGCTAGAGGCTTATTGATTTTATTGAGTTTTCCAAAGAACCAGCTTTTGACTTTGTTGATTTTCTCCCATGGTTTTCTTTTTCAATTGGACTGATTTCTGCTCTAATTTTATTTCCTTTTGCTTCCTTTGGTTTTAATTTGCTCTTCTTTTTCTAGTTTCCTAAAGTGGAGACTTAGATTATTGATTTTTGATCTTTCTTCTTTTCTAATATATGTATTCAATGCTATAAATTTCCCTCTGACCACTGCTTTCACTGCATTCCACAAATTTTGATAAGTTGTGTTTTTAGTTTCATGTACTTCAAAAGATTTTAACATTTCTCTTGAGATTTCTTCTTTGATCCCATGTATTATTTTGAAGTGTGTTGTTTAATCTCCAAATATTTTGGGATTTTACAGCTATCTTTCTGTTATTGGTTTCTAGTTTAATTCCATTGTGGTCTGAGAGCAAACATTATTTGACTTCTATTCTTTTAAATTTGTTGAGGTATGTTTTATAGCCCAGAATGTGGTGAATGTTTCAGGTGAGCTTCAGAATGATGTATATTCTGCTGTTATTGGATGAAATAATCTACAGATGTGAATTATATCTATTGATTGATGCTGTTGTTGAGTTTAGCTATGTCTTTACTGATTTTTTCCTTGCTGGATCTGTGCATTTCTGGTGGGGGGCGGTGTTAAAATCTCCAACTTTAGTAGTGGATTCATTTATTTCTCTTTGGAGTTCTATCAGTTTTGCCCCACATATTTTGATGCTGTGTTGTTTGGTGCATACACATTAAGGATTGTTATATCTTCTTGAAAATTGACCCCTTTTTCATTATGTAGTGCCCTTCTCTGCCCCTGATAACTCTTCTTGCTCTGAAGTCTCATCTGTCAGAAATTAATATAGCTACCCTAGCTTTCTTTTGATTAGTAGTATAGGCATAGTAGTATATCTTTCTTCATCCTTTTATTTTAATCTATACTTGTCTTTATATTTAAAGTAGACAACATATAATTGGGTCTCGTTTTTTGATTCACTTAGACAATTTCTTATTTGATTGGCATATTTAGACTATTGGTGTTTAAAGTGATTATTGATATAGTTAGATTAATATTTACCATATTTCTTATTATTTTCTATTTGTTGTCCTTGTTCTTTGTTCCTATTTTGTCTTTTTTTGCCCTTTGTGTTTTTAATTGGAAATTTTATATGATTTTATTTTCACTCTTTTTGTAGCATATTATACTTTTTTAAAAAAACTTTTACTAATCTGGAGTTTACAATATACATTTACAACTCATCCAAGACCTGTTTCAGATAACACTATACTGCAAGTGCCTTATAATAACAAAATATTCCTAATTCCTCCCTCCTGTCTCTTGTATCTTTGTTTCTTTGTTCATTTAGGGTTTGGGTCATTGATCCTGCTTAGTGTTCTCTGAGCTTCCTGGATCTGTGGTTTTGTCTCTGACATGAATTTAGGGAAATTCTCAGTCATTATTGCTTCATATTTGAAACTTATTTCTTCTGTTTCTTTCCTTCTGGTATTCTCATTACATGTATTTTATACCATTTGTAGTTGCCACATAGTTCTTGAGAATTCTCGTCTATTTTTAACGAGTTCTTTTTCTCTTTGCTTTTCAGTTTTGGAGTTTTCTATTGATATATCCTCAAGCTCAGAGATTTTTTTCCCTCATCTGTGTTCGGTCTACTAATGAGCCCATTAAAGACATTTTTCATTTCTGTTACAGTGTTTTTGAGCTCTAGTTTTTCTTTTTGGTTCATTCTTAGAATTTCTATTACTCTTACATTATCTGTCTGGTCTTGTGTGCTACTTTTTCCATTAGAGCCCTTACCATATTATTCACAATTGTTTTAAATTCCTGGTCACATAATTTCAACATTCCTGCCATATCTGGGTCTGGTTCTGTTGCTAGCTCTGTCTCTTCAAACTGTGTTTTTTGCCTTCAAGTATGTCTTGCAACTTTTTTATTGAAAGCTGAACATGATGTGCTGGGTAAAAGAAACTTGGGTTAATAGGCCCTTAGTGGTGTGGTGGTAAGGTGTGAGGGGAGAAGAAACATTCTATAATCCTGTGATTAGCTAGTTCAGTGAGCCTGTGCCCCTGGGCTGTGAATTTCACAAATCTGTGACAGAAAAGAGGGAGGAAGCAGTCCTGGGTAGGTGGCATCAGACCACAGCGCAGATCTGATAGAGGCCTTGTTATCCTGACAGGGAGCTCTGCCTGGGAGATGGCCAGCTAGAGGAGTCCCATGCCAGGCCCCTCAACCACCTCCTTGCTCAGTTATTGGCAGGTGCCTCACTGGAAAGCTCAGGTTCCTGTCCCTTAGGAAGCTAATGGGAGTCTGTCAGCTAACTGTACACCATGCAGCTGGGCAGAGAATCCTTTCTTGAAGTGGGATCTGGGGGGGCACAGCTCTAAGTTTGCCACCACCTCGCTGCTGTAACTCATTCTGCCTTCAGAGGGAGGAAGGTCATAGTCGGTGTATAAGTCACTGTGTAACCTTCATGCAGGGGTGACCTTGCTTGGGTTTGGTCTGGCTAGGACCACTTTAGTGCCAGCCTCTCTCTCTACGGAATGGCTGTGGGGAAGATGTGGAAGTAAAATCACTTTTTCTTATTACATCCTCTCCCTTCTTCCCTGCGAAGGAGCCAGGTCAAGATATAACCTGAGATATGCAGTAGTGATGGCTGGAGCAGAGGCATGTTCGTTTAGTCATGTCAGGGGTAGTAAGTGCTGCCCAGCTCACAGCTCCTGATACCACTTCATTGCAAGGAGATCCGGTAGATGCCTTACATGCTTCTGTTTTTCATGAAGATGACAGGAGTAATGGGCTGAAACA